TGAAAATAGGATAGATCCTCCTACTTTGGGGGTCTCATTACATGGAATATAGTTTTCCATTATGTGATATTTAACCTATGAATTTCTTTTTGGATTAAATGTGTTTCTTGTACACAGCATACAATGCTTTTTTTTAATCTAATATGTCAAGTTGTGTCTTGTGAGTAGATAATTGAGACCAGTGACAGTTATTACAGAAAGCTATTCAGGTATTCCTGTCATGGCATTATTTTTCCCCTGCCCCAGTTCTGCTTACCTGCTCACCCTATCTTGGTGTATTCGTTCCATTAGACCTTTTAACCTTCTTGGCATCATTGTCTCTTTCTAGGAAATCCTTAATGAGCTTTTGCAATTCTGGTTTGGGGGTCATGAGTTTTTTAAGGTGCTCCATCAATTTTGACAAATAGTTGGGCAGGATATATTAGTTTGGGTTGGAAGTTCTTTAATTTTAGGGCTTGAAACATTTCACTGCAAGCTCTACTGTCCTTTAAAGTTTGTGTTGAGAAGTCTGCAGTAATTCTGATGGGTTCACCTTTATAAGTGATTTATTGCCTTTTTCTAAGAGCTTTTAAAATTCTATTCTTGTACATGGACTTTGGGGATTTTGACTATTATGTGTTTTCTGATCACAAATATGAAGAGTACTATATACTTCACTTATCTGTATGTTAAATTCTTTTTCCATACTTAAAAAGTTTTCTGCTATGATTTTTTTTTGGTTTTTTTTTTTCTGGTACCAGGAATCAAACTCATGACCTCACACTTGCCAGGCAAGTGCTGTGCCACTGAGCTAAATCCCCAGCCCCTTCTGCTATGATTTTTGTAAACAGAATGTTTATGCCATTCATGTTGTCTTCTGATTTGTCATTAATTCCAGATAATCACTGATTATTCTTTGCATCATCTAGCAGCTGTTCAATCCATTTTTCATGTTCTCTTATTGTTTTTAAGGTTTTATGTGGTCACCTGCACCAGCCCTTTGTGTTCTGATACTGTCCTCATGTTGATTATTTCTTCGAATCAAACCAGACAAGATCAGTTGCATTCACAGTGGCTACTGGTTATTTCTGCTACCTATAATTTCAATAGAATTTTTTATTTTGTGATTTTCTCTTTGGTACCATTTCATGGACTCCCAATTCTTTGCTAAACTGGTAATTCACTTTTTAGATCATTTTGCTTACCTCACTACCTTTTTGGGGGTGTTTTCTGTAAGCTTACTGGTCATTTTGTTTATTAAATCCATTATCTGTTTGGTTATATCATCTTTGAGTTCACTCAAAGAGTGATCAGTTTTTAAAATTTTTTTTTATTTTAAAGAGGAAAAAAGAAAACAATAAAAATGATACAGCATTTCAAAACAAGATGGTAGGAAATTAACAATGGTTATTATGTTGCACATTGTTATCTTCAGTGTAGTTGCTCAGATTGCCAGATACAGGGATATAAAGTTGACCAAACAATATAAGCTCTAACTGTTCCTTTCAATGAAATAATAGAAATTTGTAGTACAATTATCTTAGTTATCTTGTGTATATATACATATCTTTCCCCCCCTTCTTTCTTTTCTCTATTCCCCATCCCAGTTGTTCTTTCCTTTTGAGCAGTTTATTTCCCTTTTGATCAGTTTTTTTGGTCTTTTATTTTATTATTTCATATAATTCAGTTGCTTGGCTTTTTGTGTCCCACCATCCCCTGGATGAGCTTTGGGGAGCTGAAAGTTTTTGGAGGTATTTTGTTACTTGTGTTTTCATCTTTTGTGTGTGTGTGTGTGTGTGTGTGTGTGTGTGTGTGTGTGTGTGTGTCCTGAAGTTTGCAGGTCAATTATACTGGGAAAACTTTGTTCTTAGTATGGGGATCTTTTTAATTAGTGTCAGGTTTTTAGTGATGCAGGCTGGGCCTGGCTGATTATGGGCCTTTATCTCTGATGCAAGATCAAATCAGCTCTGTCAATTTGGCGAGGACAGGGTGCGTTGTAATTTGTGTAGTACCCAGTTCTCCAGAAATAAATCACAGCATTGTTGCTGACACAAAGACAAACCAGATATTTGTATACAACAAACACCAATTAATCACAACAAATATGCTGTCCTGGCCATAACACCAAAATCAGCAACAATAATAAAGTCAAAAGCAAATTGGATAGTGACATACATAAGAACCAATAAAAGCTACCATTATATTAGACTTAATAATGAAGAGATCTGTAATTATAATATGGATGTAAAGACAAAGAAAATATTGACTTATAGTAAATATGTACTAAATGTACCAAGTGTACCACTATTAACAATAGAAAAGAATTCATAGAGTCAACTAAATATCTAAAGATTAATAAAGCTTAATTGTAATGCTAGTAAAGATGGAGGGGGTGGGGAAGAGAAAGTGAAGTAAAATTTGAAGGAAAAGAAAAGGAAAATGAGAAGTGGGAGAGAAAAGTGATACAAAAGAGTCTATTAAGGAGTAAAACAAAATTAATAAACTAGATAAAAGTAGATAAAAGAACAAACAAGAAAAACAAAAAAAGATAGGAAAATAAGTAAATAAATAAATAGAAAAAAGGAAGAAAAACCCTAAAAAAAACCCCAAAAACCCAAGAAACTAATGAATAAAAAAAAGAAATGATTCTCCACCTCAAAAATCATCTGTGTTTTCGAATAGTGGCTTCCTTCCAGGGTCTGCAGTATTGGAATCCACTGGATATAAGGGAGGGATAGTGAGCCACTACTAGGACCTGGATTGTTTCCACATTGAGGTTTCTGTGTGTGAATGCTACATCCTGCCCTGCCCTTCCTGCTGGCTGTGGCTGGTCAATGGTGTCTGCCCTAAGCTGTCTTCATTTTAGCACCTTCCACTTTCCGTGTCCCTCAGTGTATTTCAAGTCTTGGCTTTCTCGGCTTATTTTTAAGGTTCTTGGGTTTGTGAGGTGCTCCCCCTGCTGCAAAAACCCCTCTGTACCTTCTAGGCTGTGGCAGCTCTCCAGCCTGAGGTGTATTCCTCATCATACTGGCAGATGAGGAAAGCAAACAGATCAGTGGGCTCTGTGTTGGATTTCAGCAGTGCACAGCAGGGGAAGAATGTCAATCAGTCCACTGGACTTAATGCCAGCACTTTCAAATCCAGCCCCTTGTGAATGCTGCATATGACCAGCATGGCTTCTTGACTTGGAGAGTGGTCCTCCGTGTGCTTCCTGGCCTAAGCTTAAACTTTGCAGGGGGTCTCTGTCTAGTCCAGACCCTCTCCATGATCGTCTTTTGTGGCCACCTCCCACTGAGTCACTGTGGTAGGATGACCCCTGTGATATAGGGATGATCTAAGGACCTCCAAATAATATAAGGGAAATACTAGAACTCCCAACCTGCTATGTATTTGATACACTGAGTTTGTGTTCACCAAAATCGAAGATTGAATTCTAAAGAACAACAAATAGGAAGCATTTATTGAGGGAAAGGTAGCTTCTGTCTAAGAGGCAGAAGGGGTCCCAAGTGGGTGGTTGGGGACCTCACTTCTCAAGAAAGTTTTATAGAGAAAAATCACGATGTGGGTACAAAATCATAAGGCAAGTATAAGGCGGGACAAAACTATGGTCAACCAGTAAGATTACAGATAGAGTTGGTTAGGTAATATTGATCTAATGGGGAAGCAGTTCGTGTAGGAAGTGTACATGGAGTGAACAAGGACTTTTCCTGGGGGAGGATGGGCCAGGGAGGTTTTGGTTCCCAAGCCAAGATGATTGATGCCTATTTAGGATATTAATCATTGTTGCCCATCTCTCAGGGAAGTATATAGGTATAGTCATTTCCTTCATCTTTAGGCCTGACTTTGAATGAATGCACCTCCTGCCACAGTTGTAAATATTCTTATCTTCTGCACTTACCTCTTTGAGGGCCTAGCCCTGTCTGACTGCCTATAATATTTCTAACTAACTTAGCTGTCTATAATACCAGGAACCCCAAAGAGCAGTTATTTTGTAGTTGTTCTGTACCTTACTCTTAAACAATTAATTCCTCCTCAAATTGGTGTCTGATTAAACACGCTCAAATATGGCAGGTGCTAGACTGAGTTTCTTCTCCAACTCTTCCATTCTGCCACACAGAAGGATATCAGGTTAATAACTCTTAGTTATTGAGGGCTGATCAGGCTTGCAATCTCCCAAATGAGTGGATGGTGAAGGCTTAAATAAGTGAGACAATTGAAATGATTGTAGGGCTCCAGGAGGGTCTAATTCTCTTATAGCATTTGAAATTCTCTGGGATAAGACAAAGACTTTTCTGGGAAGCCCATATTTATTAGGTTTTCAAACAAAAGAGGAGGATACTCAAGAAAATGTGGGACTCTAGCAGGACCTTGGGAAATATTTTCCCAAGTAGTAAATTATGTCAAGCAGGAGAACTACCTTATCTTTAGGCTGGCATTTATTGTAGGAGTGTGGAGCCTGCAGGTGCAGTCTCCTTTTAGTGAATTGGGGTTGGAGCCAAATGTCCTCAGCTGCGGCCTTATCTTGTCCTTCATGGAGTAACAGCTTCACAGGCCAATACAGGCCTCTGTGGTGAGCAGTGACTCATTGAGGTTCACTTACTATGAGTCCACTGCCCAGCACCAGACAAGGTGCCTAAGCTTTGGACAGCTCACAAGTAAACATGGAAAGCCAATTCGTTGATATTAAATTCTACTCAGAGCTGCTTCATAGTGGTCTCCATCAGAAGGAGCCATTTTCAGAGTGAGGTTCCACATTGTTTTTTGCAGTTTACAGTAACTGTGGGCTTTTCTTGGGGCTAGCACTGCTGGCCCCATCTGTTGTTTCTGCCTAGAGCTGTAGAACCTCTCCCTGCTTCCTTTTGATTAGAGAAAACAGGTCCCCCGCCCTGGGAGCTAAGGTTAGGTTTCCAGACTCCTTTGTTTTTTCTCTGTATTTTGCTTCATTTCTTCAGCTTCTCTGTGGTTTCTAGTTTTTCTCTCATCTCCTTCCTAATTTCCCAGAGATCTACCCTTTTCTTTACCAAGTTGTTTTCCAGGTGTCTCCATACGCGTTCCTGGACAGGCTGTATTTTGCTGCTGGTCTTCAATCTGCCATTTTTAATTTCTTGGAACAAAATATTTAGTTGTTACGAAATGGGTGCTGTATGAAAAAATACGGTAGTCCAGGGTCACGTGAAGCCACCTACAGTTTCCAGAGGAACTCTGCTGTGTGAGTGAGCGTGCGCGCGCGCGCAAACTCTAGGGTATTACTTCCCTACTCTGCCCTCTAGTGGCCAGTGGCTGCTAAATTACCACTGCTAAATTACTTTTCCTAGAGAGAGGAGTTCTGCCTTCTAGTCAGGTCCAAAGTGGGCGCACACTAAACATAAGATGCCTTGTGCTTTTATTATAACAGTAATGATAAACATACATTTATTAAACACCCTAACTAATCAATTCACTCACTGATTAACCGATTTTTTTTTTTTTAGACAGGGTTCTTGCTCTGTAGTTCTGCCTGGTCTTGAACTTGCTGTGGAGACGAGGCTGGCCTCCTGAGTGCTGGGGTTATATGAGTCACCATGCCCAGTATATTTCTGAGAGTTTAACAAACACCTAAAGAGATTTTGCTTCCTGAAAGAGCAGAAGTTTTTCCTCCTTCTTCCATTAAGAATCATTATATAATAAAACAAACACATGAGGCCAGTTAGGACTCAGGGCATGACACAGTAGTGAATTTTTTCTTTTTATCTGACATATCCTAGACTTGGTGCTGGAGGAGTTGATAATTTTAGAAACATGGGTGTAACAAACAAACAAAACTGTGTCTCTGTAGTCTTTCTATTCACAGCCCAGGAAAGGTCTAGCCTGTTAAAATAAAAAACTTCTGGAAAATAACTGTTCTACTCCAGCTAAACATAACGAAACTCCACCTGTGTGTGTTCCTCTCAGAGGCCTATGGGGAGCCTAGATTTCTCTCCTCCCTGAAGCTACGTGGAAGAACCCACCCCCTCTGCTGGGTAACACAAAGGAGGGGTAAGTAGGGAGCCCGAGATTCCTCACCTGCCTATAAGGAGCCTTTTGCTCTCCCTGCAGTGACAGCATGGACAATGTGGGCGGACTGGGCTTGTACCAACATCCTGTGGTAACAAGATGCCGCTCCCCTTGCTGCAGGTATGGTGAGAAGGCGTTGTGGAGGTCAGGACCCTACCTTGTCCACCAGTTATGAAGCCACCCCACGGTGAGTGAGTGGAAGCACATGGGAAGTGCAGTGCACTCCTGCTTCTCCCACCTAGGGAGGCACGGGCAGAAGCCTGGTAGGATCTGGAATTTCCCACTCCCCCCAGCAGTAATGAGGAGCCTCTTCCTTCCCAGGAGGCCATGCTGAGTACTTGGATTTCTAGCCCTACCTGGTACAACTAGGTGGCCCCCAAACTTCTCCTGCCAGAGTTGTATAAGAGGAAACCTGTCAACATAGGGTTAAATAAGTCCATCACCTTGTAATATCCCAAATGTTAGGGCAAGGCAGGCAGGGGTGTGCTGGAGTACATCCCAAGGCCATGTGCCAGTACCAGCAGTATGGCAGCCCCATGGCTAGTGGCAAGTATGCAGTGGACAACTTCAAGCTGGACCTGGAGTATGAGTTTCTGTCTCCCCACTTAGCCTGGTACCTCAGGGTCAGGTCCAGGGATGAGAGGGCCACTGAGGGGCCCCAGGGGCTCCATGACACGGAGCCCTACATGCCTACCATCAAGAAGCCTCGTCACTCCTTTGGTGGCTGTGAATCCAGGTTCTCAGACTCAGAAGATGATGTTCTTGTGTTCCCAGCTGGCAGAGGGCCTGTTGTGGCCAGAACCTCCACTGTGCCCAAGGCTGGGACTGTAAGGCCACTGGGAAGCCACCCTGTAGGGAGGTCCCAGAGCCTGAGGAGGGTGGCCTAAGGGAGTTCAAACAGATAGCTGTGCAGTATGACTGACATAGGGGACACTGAGCGGCCCCCAAAGATCCTGCTCATGGCACCCTCGGCCTATGCTGGCTCCCCAGGGCCTTGCAGGATGGGAACAGTTCAAAGAGGACAAAACCAAGAGGAAGAATGTGATTCCACCCACTCGCAGTCACAAGGACAAGTCCTGGAAGAAAACAGGATGTAGGACTGGGGCTGAGGCAGGCTGGAATAAGTCTGGGCCATGTAAGAGAACCTGGCAAGCCTGCAGTCCCAAGCACAAGGCTGAGAGCTGAGCAGGACCAAGAAAAATCCCTCTTCAGCGACCTGGTGGCTAGCTCAGAGAGAGGGAAAACTGATCACCCACTGGCAGGGCCCAGGGTAGGAGACTCTTGTCTCAGCCTCCAGCAGCTGCCAGAGAGGAAGTGTGGCAGGAAGGCTCCGGCTGGGGAGCCCAAGCCCTGCTCAGTAGACAAGGGGCCTCCCCAGAAGTCCCCAAGCTGAAGAATAGGGCCCTGTGCTAGGAGCCTGGGACACTGTGGATTTGGACCCCACCTTCCTCATCCTCAGCATGGACTTGGATTTGGACTCAAACTTGGACTCCAGCCTGGACATCTCCAAAACACAGCTGCCCAAGTGGCTCAAGGCCTCCCTGCTGCTTACCTGTATCCCCACTTCCTAACACCCACCACCACCAGTATCACCACAGCCACATCCTCCTCCTGCTCGTCCTCTTCCTCCTCGTCCTCGTCCTCCTCCTTGGGGTCTAGGGAGGTAGCAGATGGGGAGGACATGGACTACTTGGCCCTGGGGAGGGAGGTGGACTTTGACCAGGGCCCCATGGAGGAGTGTCTGCAGATCTTCAGTTAGTCCACTGGCTTGAAGACAAAGGACAAAGAGCACTGGCACAGCAGCCTCTCAAGTACAAGAAGAGTGAGAAAAGGCACGTAGGCCTGACCCACTGTTCCTGGAGCAGAAGAGAATCTTACATTTTGCCAAGAAGGGGCTCAGTGGTGCCCCCAGCATGGCTTCTCATAGTGCAGGAAGTGTGCTACCCATGGACCCATCAGGTGCAGGGGAGTTGGCCAGCCAGGTACAGGCTGCCCCTCAACAGCTAGAGAAACCTGCTTCTGTCCACATCTCACCCACGTGCCCAACCTCCACCTAGTCACAGCCCTCACAGGTGCCAAGAGGACCCTCTTGGACAGCAGCAGCCAAGCACTTGATGGCCCCAAGCCCAGAGGCCAATGCTAAGGACCTGCACACCATCAGGGATGGTATCCAAGACCACCACTCCCATCACTCCCAAGTGCATGGCAAATAGTGCACCTATAGAGTTTAAAGATGCCCATTATCCCAAAGGAATTTGGGGGCAAGATCCCCACTGCTACCACCAGTGATGTTTCAACTTGTTCACTGAGTGCCTCCAGTTCTGGCCATCTAACCAGGAGGCCATCAAGAAGGTGCTGAATGAGAAGGTAGCTTACTATCACAGCTCCAGCAAGAACACCTACTTGGATATCGTGGTGAACACACTCATGAAGCTGGGCCCTGGTCTCTAGTGCTGTATCCAGCCTCAGCAAACCCAGTGGTAGGAAGACTGGGTCCTATGTAGGTGCTGAGGGGCAAGATGGCACCAAGACCCACTTGTCAGAAGCCACCAAGTGGAAGAGCAGAAAGGGACCACCCTGTGTAGCAGCCTCAGGGACACCTGCTTATCCAGGAGCAGCTCAAGGAGGACGGCCACCCCTTCTCCCATCTTGAGAGGTCAGGTGTTACTGTCATCTTCACAGCTGAGGAGAACCCCAAGCATCCCTCCTGCAGCATCTCCTGCCACAGTATGTACAGGATGTCCAGGGGAGAATCTTGAGGGCTTCATGAGGGTCTTTGAGAAGAAGTGTGGGGGACACTGATGTAGGGATCTATGCCCTCAACTAGGAGACGCCTTGCACCATGTATGGCCTGCAGCTGACCTGTGTCATGGTGGTGAACATGGACAAACATGCAAGTGGTGTATGGATCCTTTGTCAAGCCTGAGAATGATTGTGTACTATACCACCAGATTCTCCAGGATGATGGAGGATGGCCTCATGGACACAAGAATCATATTGCAGGATGTGCAGGCCATCCTGCTGAGCATATTTAGTGCTGACAGTGTCCTCATTGGGCACAGCCTAGAGAGTGACCTGCTGGCTTTGAACGTCATCCACCGTACTGTGGTGGACATGGCCATACTGTTTCCACACCACCTAGACCACCCCTACAGGCACTTTTTTGGGAACCTCCTACCTGACTGCCCCAGACCATTCAGGATAATGTGAATGGGTATAGTTGCAGAGAGGATGCCAGCACCCATGTGTACCTGAAATACCCAGGAGGATGCCAAAATCAAGCCATGACATTGCTCCATACCAAGGCTACTTGCAAAACAGGGCGATAACTCTGAAAGCGAATCCTATGCACCTGGGGTAACAAATGATAGGTGGGATAGATGCTGGGGTCAGCCTGAATCTTGCCTCTGCTGTGGCCCTCACCCTTGTCTCCTTTTCCAGCCTCTGCTTCCCTGTCTACATATGGGGCAGGGTGGTGTTATGGGCTTATTTGAGACAGGGGCTGTTTTTTTCTTTCATATTTTTATTTTTTATTTAAACCTATTGGCTCATGCAGTTACCATCACTGCTCAAGAAGCACAGACCTGGCACTGCTTTCCTCCTTGGGGACTAATGTGGTGTGAGCCAGTCTCAAGCAGGGGTTACAATGACCCATCCCTGAGAGATACCCCTCAAGTTTCTTCTCCAATGTCCTCAAGAATTCCTTGAGGTTCTGCTTCTGGCCATCCTATATATGTTTCAGCAGCAGATTTTGCAGGAGGCCTGCCCTGGACTCCAGGGAGCCCAGCTCACCTTGGGGTGGCAGCTTCCAAAATAACCTCCCCAGCTCACCCTGACTTCTTATGTGATTTCCAAGAAGCAGGCCAGCCCAGGCCCAGGGCCTTGCCTTCAGGTGGCTCCCTTGACTTATGGCCTCTGGGACACTGTCTTCTCACCACAGCCCCCTCCCCCATTCCAGAGGCCTCTGAAGGTCTCTCTCAGCCACTGCCCCTGGACAGAGATAGATTAAACAT